CCCCACCCTGGCTGGGCAGTGCTTGCCCCAGCCCCACTCCTCCCTCTCTGTGGGGGCCTTGATTTGCCCCAATCCCCACGACCCTTCCCTTCCCTTCCTCCTCCCCTTCTACCACACCAGACATCAGCTCTCCAAGCTGCCAGGCTGATATCGGAAATCGGATCAGTATTGGCTGATATGTCTCCTTAAAAATCAGCTATCGGTATCAGCCCCCAAAACCTCTATCAGTGTACCCCTAGTATAAACCTCCATCCTTGGACCAGGGAACCTAAGATGGCCAGCATGACTGGCCATATCACACCTGTGTGCTGTTGGCTGCAGAAACTAACCTGACTTAACCCTGCCAATCTGCCAAAACACTGTGGCTTGGGACAGACCTTGGACTACTTTTTTCATAGTGAATTATATGCATAGTCCAGGGGACCAGTGCCAAGGTTTTAAAAACCCAAAATAAGAGTGGAAGATGCTGCAATCCAGAGGGCTCGGGTGAGATCTTTCTATGTTTGAATACTTTGTATGGAAAAAGTTACCAAAGGATGACCTAGCCATTTAAAAATACTTGCATGCAATTTTGCCACAAACACAGTTAAAAGAAAGATGGGGAAAACATAGAAGTCAGACATACAAATAAAATATCCAATGTTACTTTTCTACACGTAGTGTGAATTAAATGTGACTGAAGATGCACTGAAAGCCATAGCCAGACTGGCTCTGGACAGGAAGACTGGTGCAAGAGGCCTTCGATCTATAATGGTGAGCTCTTTATTAAGTAGCACTAATTATTTGCATCCTGAGTAGATGTATTTGAATTATGCACATTGTCCTTGCCAAGAGAGCTTGTTCTTTAAGGGTAATTTAAGTGGGATGTTCAGTTATGGAGAATAAACCTTTTCCCAGTGGTAAGGGTAGTCAGATTTCTTCTAACAGAGTACCCAACCAACCATTATTGTGTGAAGGACTAGCTGAAATACACGTGTTTTTCTTTTCTCGTAGGAGAAGTTGTTGTTGGAGCCCATGTTCGAAGTACCGAATTCTGATATTGTGTGTGTGGAGGTCGACAAAGATGTTGTAGAAGGCAAAAAAGAGCCAGGATACATTAGGTAAAATAGGAATGGCAATACCACAGCAGACTGGTAACACATCTAGGCAAGTGCCCTACTGCTTGTCAATTAGGTGCGTTAGAAACAAGAAAATAAAAATTGTGCGCACCTTTTAAAACAAAGAATCCTTCTTTCTATGTGCCATACACAGTAGGTAAAGGGCACTTGCTACATAGTCGAGACACCTTGGCTTCTTTCTGATTAAAAATCAGAAATCGTTCTGATTAAAAATATAAAAATAACTGTAAATTACCAAATAAATGTAAATACATGACGTTTGTTTTAACTTGACATTTGCCTGTCTGTGGGTAAATAGTACAATGACTTTATCAAGAACATATAACACTCTGTTTAAATGGGTGATCGTGTTGAATTTCCTGAAGAAGGGGGGGAATTATCATTGTTAGTCCTTAGTAATAGGCAGGGCATTGAAATTCTTGGAGAAAAAAATCAAAACTGGCTCCTCTGATTCCCTTAGTCTGAAGTAGCCCAAAGTTGATGGCTACCCAGGCTGTTTGCAAGATATTTCTGCTGGTATTCCTGAGAGGGGTTGAGGCTCTGCTTCCCACAAAGGTGAAAGGATGGGGAAAGGAGTTCCTGGAGGTGGCTGGTTGGCTGAATTCCTGTTGAAATAATGACTTCAATGCTGCTAGGATGATATTATATTAGTGATGAGTTAGAGCATGTAAAGACTTGGACAGAGGGTGATTTTTAAGTCTCGTTAACTAGTGATGCAGATGTGGGAAGAGGTCTTGTGTTTAAGAGACAAGACTAGGAGTCAGGGGTTGTAGGTCTCGTAAAGTTCCCACGTGACATTCATTAAGGTACATACCGTCTTTCTGACTAATGGAAGTAATGCTGCTATTTACTTCACATTGATGCTGAGGCTTAATTCAGCATGTTGATTTTTCTCCTGTAGAAGGAACCGCTGCAGTTTAAACCAGTATTCTCTCAGTAACAGTTGAATTAAGTGCAGAATAAGTGTCACTTGCTCTGCGTTATTCCAAGCTTAAGCTTTGCCAGTTATCACAAAAGAATTCTGTGATGAACTCTTTCAAGCAAATAAATTGGGTTTTTAAAATGAAACTTTTGGCCTGAGTGTTTTAAAGTAGACAATGTGCTGTTTCCATTCCAGTCATCCTGCCTCCATTCTCTTCTCAAATGTTAACATACCTGATCAGTTCATTTTAATTGTAGGGCTCTGACTAAAGATTCATCCGAGGAAGAGTATGACTCCGGAGTTGAAGAGGAAGGCTGGCCTCGTCAAGCGGACGCTGCAAACAATTAAGTACTGTCAAAAGGCTCTCCTGCATAAAGCACACTTGGTTATTACAAGATCATACTGGGCTTTACATTCTGACACTAAAGGCGTTGGATCTATCCAGCATATGATACATGGTCAAAAAACTTGCAGTTAAAAAAAATCAGATCATGTATTTATTGTATCATCACATTGATTTTTCTTCACTGGACATTATTTGGACTTTGGTGGCATAATGTCAAGTATAAATTGTACGTTATTTTTGTTCAGTTAAAAAAAAAAAAAAAATGGTCTAACAAGCTTGGCAACACCTGGGTTGTTTTCTGGAACTAAACCCAATGCAGGTATTGCCAACAGCTAAAAAACTTTTATGGTAATATTACTCTACAAATGGGAAAACAAGCTTAATATTAACTAGAGGATAGATAAACTATGAATTTGTCTTATAATTCACTTGGGTTAAGTTCAGGTCAGTGTTAAGTTTCTGTTCATTTTCAGAACCAAATGGGTGCTGGAGGGATTTGTTACGTTTGTCTTGAGACATGCCCTAAACTGGATTTTCCAAACCTCAGATACTGCTTTATGACCCTTTTCTGCAAGTCTGCTAAAACGTAACACATTTACAATAATTGGATACGATATCTAATGCCATTTCCTAACTTCTTTACCTTGCCATTAGCTATAGGTTTAACAGAGCCTCTGGAATACTGAGAGCCGGTGAAACCTGCTGGATTTGTGGAGGACGGTGAAGATATAAAGGCAGTGGGATATACCATGTTGGCATAACGTTTTAAAATATTTATGTTCTAATACATGCATTTTGTTCGAATTATCGGAACTATTGTGCATCAATTTTTTGGTGCCAGATATTTGCCCAACCTTATCTTCTTATAACATTAAGAGATGAAGACAGTAAAGTTATTGTATAATAATTTTGATGTAATCAATAGTGACTGTATACATGACCATGCTTTTTTAAAGTTACATGCTTAAATGCTGGTGTTGCATCTTGTGTTTTTGTCTCTTGATTTTTAGATTTGCTGCAAAGCAAAGACCCTTGATTTCTGTTTTACACCCAAATAAATTTAATAATCCTTTAGGAAAGTGTTTGTGAAAACTCTAAAGGACTTGTATGGCTTTTGATTCATTTAAAAAATTAAAATGGATATCTACAACTGCTTTATTCTTTACAGTGATATGTGAGTCTAGCTTTTCCTAAGTCCTGTTCCTGAATTTTGATTCATACTTGCTAATGAAAACCTTCATTACCATTTTTAGTCTAGTAATAGCAGTAAAAGTTTTTGGTACTATTGATTTTTATTGGTCCTAGTCCCCATTGTCTCATGAATAGTTTAGGGTTTAACATTTAAATAAGAAAGTCATGTCATACTTTATGTGCTTTTAGAAAACAGATATAGTAAACATGACTTTAAACCAGATGCAGCAGGTGTTTTTCTCTTTCTGGTCACAGGTCAGAAAAGGCTACATTCAAAGCTCAGGAAAGATTCAGGAGGTGATCGGTTTAACCTAGCGTAAACTCTCTGACTTCCAGTATCTGTAACTTAAGTATCCTATCTTCCTTTTCCTTTTTGTAGAATGAAAAGTAAAATGGCTTTTAATTCTGTTAGAAATTACCTTTTTTTTTCCCCTAAATGGACTGAAGGCCATTTTAATGAAAACCATCAAACAACTTAGTTTTGAAAGTTGTTGAGAAATGTGTAATCAAGAAAAGTTTTTACAGAAACAAAATGCTGTGTAACTACTCTTTGTACTTCCAAACCAGCTTTGGTGTTTGAATAAAACAGCAGATATTCATGAACCGCTGATCTCTGTCATCCCACTTGCTGATGTAGGCTCATCTCTAGGCGCGAGGGCAGGTGAAACCAGGAGCTTTCACTCTCCTGGGCCCCACGGGCTGGCCTTCCTCCGGCCTGCACATCCGCCTCCTACCTTGGAGTTGTGCCATGTGCCTGAGGGAGGGACGGAGCAGGCTCGCTGCGACTCTTCCTGTGCCCTCCTAGCCACCGCATGCACGTGCTAGCCCAGATCCGGCCTGTGCAGCGGCGAGGCGCTGCTTGTCCCACGCCCGCCCTGGAGGAGAGGAGCAAGGGGGTCCACTGGCCCAGCACCAGCCGGGCCTGGCTGCTTGGGCGAGGCAGCACCAGCTTGGCCCCCAGCCCCCCCCCCCCAACGTGCTGCACCTTCTGCACCATCCCCAAAGCCCACCCGCCCCCGGGCCTTCATAGTATTCACCGCTGGACCCACGTGTGCGTGTGGCCTCATACATACGCATCTCTGGACCACCCGTCTTCCCCCACCCACCTCATGCATATTCATCACTAGCCGACCTAGCCACTGTGCCTCATGCATATTCAGCAGCAGCCGCCCCCCTACGTCTTTACGCGCACGCAACACCCACCCTCACGCCCCTCGTGCGCAGTCACTCCGCCAGGCCCCGCCCCCTTGTGCGCACTCATTCCGTCAACCTCTCAGGCCCCGCCCCTCATGCATATTCAGCGAGC